CACAATATCTAGTAAAGTAGAAGGGTTATTCTTTGCACGATGCCACATAGAAACCTCTTAAAAATCTTGGGAATTGCAAGCAGTTAGTTGATAACTTTGAAAGAAAATCAGGGTCTTCTTTAAGTAGAGGAGAGTGTAGAGAAATAGATTATTTCAAACACGATTTGTGCAATGATCATGATTTATGCAATGATCATAATTCGTACAATGAGTGTAATTTGTGCAATGATCATGACGATCGTAATAATCATGATTTGTGCAACCATCATAATGATCATAACGATTATGATGAATGTAAACCGTATCCCAACCATTGTATAAGTATAGGATAATTATGTAGTAATGGCGAGATCAAGCATAACCACAGGTAAATAATGCGTATTAGAAATATAGTCATAAAAAGTTAGTAAAAGTGATATATAAATATAAACCGAAATAAGTAATAAAGAGATATACTTATCTTAGCAATAACAATCTTGATGTCACGTTACAGTTATACTAAAATCTATAGCAAAGATTATACTAGGGTGAACCTATCATATTGTATTATACAATGATGCTTAATAAAAATTTCTAAGTTATGTTTTTGATGTTTTTATTAAAAATGCATCAAAAATGACTATTTTTCATAAAAACTGTATCCTCCGCTATGTTCTAAACAATGAGAATAAAAAAAAAGGTCTATTACTTTAAAGAGCATATTAAAACAACTCTGACAAATATAAAGTTATTTGTATAAGTTTGCTTGTTCAAGAGTTATTACAAGTTAAATTTTAAATATTTCTATTATATACACTACTGCTAATTATAAAAAAAATTTAATTAATGATTATCACTATACCACCTAATTAAACCTAGATATACAAAAAATATGCTGTTTATCCTCAATTTTGATTAGCTAACAGCCATGATCGACAAAATTCTGGCTAATATTATCCCACATTATATACAATTTTGGCTAGAATTAATTTTTTTAGCTTTTTGACTCTAAAAATAAAAATTTTTAAGATTTGGGTCTATCCAATAGTAAAATTAGCCCAGGAACATTTTTTACTTAATGGGTGGCTATGATTTTATTAGTAAAATTTTGAGTAATTTTGGCCTAAATTGTTAATCATCAATCACAATCTTATGTTCTTTAGTCAGAGATACATATATAATTAGAAAATTGATAGCGATAGTGATAACTTTATTTATTTTAATTTTTACAATAGTGATACCTTTATTTATAATGATATATAATAATAAAAATATTGCAAAGAAAAATATTTATAATGATATATTGTAAAAGAAAAGAATATTTATAATAAATAAAAAATGTTTAATTATACTATATAATTGGTTATAATCAATATATTTACTATTCTATGAGTCTTGCCTCTAACCAATTTTTTAAGCACAAAGAAGTCTTTATCTTCTCTTTGAAAGAATAATTTCTTGTAACCTTAATAGCATCAGAAAGTGCATGCTTACAAGAAGTGCCAGTAATTTGTATTGCAAATAAATTTGCTACCATAGATACCACAATTAGAAAATGGTAGAAATTATGCTTTCACCATAAAAGTAGTTTAGCATCTGGTTCATGAGATTGAGAAAGATAAGATTCAAATTCATTTTTTGGTTCTGATTCATTTTTTTTGTTTTTGCTTTTTGAACTATTATTTTTTTGAAGATTTCTAAAAGATCTGAGTTAGGAATTATTACAGATTCATTTATTTTATAAGATAAATAAGAATTTGTTAATCTAATAGTAGAGATTTTATAATCAAAACTATTTGAAAAAGGTTTAAACTTGGTTGACAGATCTGGAAGAGCAGGAATTGTAGAAAATCACCAAAAACAATTTCAATAATCTCTTAATACTTTTTTTATACTTTTGGCTACTTCATTATATCTAAAAGATATTGACTAAGGTGTGATGTAAAGTTTTCAATAATTACTCATAAGGACCTATGAGAAGGTTGTGAATTATTTAATAAGAACAATATTGCTAAATAGAAAGGCTTAATAAGTTAAACTATCTTTTCTATTATTTTCAAATTACCAAACTCCAAGTAATCTTCTCTTATATTTGGGTAGAAGTTTATAAAACTGTCAATAATAGCTCTGATTTCAATAAGACATTCAAATATTAGATAAGTGCTATACTATTTGTTTTTATTATCAATTTTAGGTTGAAGGAATGGAAGGTTAAGAGCAATAGAAATTTTTTTCATCTTATCCAAAAGCAATAGTATTTTTTTAATTTTATTATAAAAATAATGAGCTTTGTTAATTTGATTAAGAAAAAGTTTTGACATTTTTCAACTACAAGACCAATAGCATATATTGCACAATATGCATATTTGATATCGCAACTTATAGTTCTTTCAAGATAGTATAAATATGGTAGGT